AATATTTTATACGGATACATTGACGACATACCTTATAAGAAGAATTATCAATATTTTGTAGTATACATTTCAAAATTTATTAATTTAATAATATTCTTTTAGATAAAACCTTACCCCCAACGGTTCTTTCCTATGAATATTTTATACGGATACATTGACGACATACCTTATAAGGAGAATTATCAATATTTTGTAGGAATACTATGAAACGACAACTATAACTTTATATGCCTAAAAATTTTAAACCTGATTTACGGGTGCTATATTTACTAAAAAATATTTGAAACCCATTGATTTTATACGATGGACTTCACTTTTTTAATGTCAATGAAATTGCATTCATTCAATAATTATCATAACCAATTAAAGATGAAATTATTTATTTGTAACTGCGATAATTTCACCTGCGATACATGTAGTTCACTGTGATATGTTTTTAGATATAATATTTAATTACTTATTAACAAATACTATTCGTCATGTTACTTAAGGTGGCAGTAATTGCATCACTGTCAGTAATACCTACATTTACCTCTACCTCTATAACCCCAATGTTTCAAACTATACTAAGATATTTCCAGTGCTTTAAATAACAAAATGTGTAAAACTTATTTAAAAATATTTAAATATTACTTGTAAGTCACAGAGAAGATCCTGGAATGCAGTAATATTTGGAATAGCAGAAGTTTCTCTGCCACTATCAACAGTGCCTACTAAGCTGAATGTTAGGTGAAGGACGTGAGAATTCAGCAGAAAACGTTTCCGCTGCAGTAACATAGCTAATGTTTGATACCCTCGGCGTCTGTCCATTTCTAGCTGAGCAACTGGGTTCGAGCGAACAACACAGACGAGTGCCTTTACAGCTGCATATAGTGATTCAACGTCTTGAGCCATAGCAATCAGCCCTAAAAAAAATGAATAAAAATTGTGTTGTGAGCCATCAAGTTTTTATTAATAGTTAGGGACTTCAAACTATTGTTAAAAATCTGTTCTTACCAAGTAGTACAGAGCATCCACCAACATTGTTTATCATAATAGCTACTGGCTTTGGATTAAAAACTCGAACACCTAGATAACCGAGTACAACTCCACCAAATGGTCTTGCTGAGCCACTTAAGTGTCCAGCTGAATTATGCAGAACTCGTATAGGAGTAGCATTTTCGTGAGATGACATACCAAGCTACGGAAAACATAAATCAATCAGGAATGTTATTAGAATTATTTATGTGAAAAGTGCAAGAGTAAGTTTGGTCAGAAAAACATAAAAATAAGTACTGACTATTTCGTAACAAGTCAAATCTATGAAAGCTTATAAGATCGTGTGGTATAAGTATTAACTCTTAAGGTCCCTTAAAAATTTATCTATACAGTTATACAAGCTTTTTAGAATATTTTTACTTAATAAAACCATACGAGTAGAGTTTCCAAAACAAGTGTATTTCTTTTCCTCTAGTTATTACATTATTTCCATGTATTTAAAATTTTATATAGTGTACTTTATAAGAAGTTTCAATAACACAAAAATAGCGTTTCTACAATATTTTAGTAAAAAGCTTGGTTATAAAAGACTACATTAAAAACTACAAATATGACTATTCAACTGTCTGGCATTTCTTTAATTTTTTAAGATATTGTTTTTAATAACTTAAGTTATAATAAGTCATATTTAATTTGTAAGGAAAAACAATGCTTTAAACTACTTTTTACTAATTTTAACTAGAACTGTTCAAAATTTAGGTGCTGTTATTTTCTCAAGAAATAAAAAAGTACTGTTATACATCTTCCTTAAAATGCAAAAATATTTTATTTCACTCGAAAAAAGTAGGGTACTTTTACTATTACAAAATGCTTCACTGCAATAACGTTTATAAACAGGATTATTAAATGTCATTGAACTTTTTAATTTACTTGAATTAACTAAAATTGTTGTAATTGTAATTTAACAGACCAGTGGTATCCTACCTAGTTAATGCATCACTTAAATGTAAGACAGTTCAGTTGGTTTTCCTATTTCAATGAGTTTTATTCATTAAAATAAAATTAAGTTTGAGATAATGACAATTAAAAAAACTTGAAATACCTAAAATTAGGATCGACTCCTAATATTGCTAATAATTGTACAAGTTTTCTGATTACTTATGTTGCGATTACATCAAGCTTTATTCTTATCCTTAAATAAAGAGAGCACTTCACTTTTTCTTATGTGTAACGAATAATGAACAATTTATTTGAAGGTAACATATATACATAAATTTTTCAATTTTCCTCGTTAGAAAAAAGAACAAGATTTGCTCAAATAAAATGTAAGCTGTTCAGTTAATTAAAAAAATTACAATAAAATTAAAAAAATAACTATAAAAAAGTAAGATTTTTAGGCATACTTTGCGTTGGAAGCTTGTTTGTAAAGGACAAATATATTTTAATTTTAAAAAATACTTTAAGGCCATTAATAATAATAAAGTACCTCATTAAAATTCTGTAAAGCGTTTCTCAACTAACTTTATACCTTAAACCAAAAATTCTGTTAGTTAAAGTTAATATCAATAGCACCATAAAAACATTTTTTTAAACTATATCTTTACTAAAATTACATTTAATTTGCGGAAAGCTAAAGCAAAACTTGTTCAGAAACCAAAATACTCAATTTATAAAAATTCAAGTACAGTTAAATCGATAGCAAAATTATAATTCCAATGACATGTGAAGTAGCAATGCGTTGATAGATCAATAAACTCAACAAAGAACACAATATTCTATCTTAATTCTAACCAATGACTTTAATTTATAGAAGCTAAAAAATTTTACAAACATGACAATAATAAGTTTAAAACGTTGTTAAACTCGGTATGACTGTATAGTTTAATAAGCTTTAGTCTTGCAAGGATCATCGGCCTTACCAGCGAGGAGTGGTCCCTGAAACACGGGGCTTCTCCGGGGATGCTAAGTAGCCTGAAATTGATACTTCGGTTGAGAGCGCCGGCTTAACCAGCGAGGAGTGGACGTCCTGGAATAATGGAGTCTTCTCCGAGGAAAGGCTACACAGTGGCGAGTGGGCCCGATGCACCATTGGTGCAGAGAGTGCCAGCTTAATTGGCAAGGTGTGTTCCACCAGATATACTCACACTGTACTCATGGATTAAGGTAGGATATGAAGAAAAAAGATTTGTAAATGGGTGTGGCAATACACCCCCACACATAGGTGGTGAGTGGGTGGCTGCCGCAACTAGGCTAGTAGGCTGTCGTTGTAACCCGGTAAAAAACAAAAAAGCTTTAGTCTTAGTTTGGATTTTATTTAATCATGTCTACATAATATTTACTAAGATTTGATGAAGAAAAAACTAGTAACAAAATTTCAAAAGTTTGGCGAGAAGTCTAAGAATTGGATACTCAGCAAAATTTTGATTATTTTTAAGGAAATAACCTAAATAATAACAAACATCGATGGAAAATCTATTGATGAATTACTATTCTAATTTTTTTTAACGCTCGGATCCATCTTTTACTGTATCTTGGGTTATCACCTCTATAATTAGCAGTATTTGATTATTCTGTAAAATTTTTTTTTTAATTTCCAAATTGTAAAGCAATCTTATTAGAATAAGCTTAGAAAATCAAATTTATTAAACGATATAATAAACATCTGTTAATTTATGACCACAAAGTTTCCTCACAGTTTTTTTAGTAGCTTTTCCATAAACTTCACTCATTTTACATCTTATCGATTAATTAAAGGATTAAAACAAAAATGTTTTGAATATTCGTCGTTATCGAAATCAAATTGATTACACTATATTTACCTAAATTTTAATTTATATAAAACAATAAAAGTAAAACTAATGCAAGTTTGAGGTTATTGTTAGCACGGATATTATATGTTTATATGTACAGCCTAATTACGTCAAATATTTATTAAGGAGGAAATAGTTTTTGCGTAATGTCTTTAACTAATTTTAGCATAAGTAAATAATAATAAACTTTTATAATTAAACTTTTACATTAAAATCTCTTATGTCAATAGAAAACTTTTTTTTTCTTAGGATCATAAGAACTAAAAGTAGCTTAGTATCGATCCGCGAGGTATTGTTGCATTTGAAAATGAATTTTTATTTGTATTGATTGATAAAAATGCGCACCAATAAAAATTATTTAAGTCTTTTAGTTTATTCAATAAGAATCTGTATTAATTATTGTTGGCATGTACGACTTTTCAATAGGCAGTATATATAGTGCGTAAGACAGCGCCACAGGCAAGGTGATACTTGCGGGCCCTATAGTCAGTACAGTGTAAGCTACCGTGCCTTCTACATCTCTCGTCAGCTCTCTTTATTATCTTTGTCCGTTTTGTCAGTAGTAAGTCTGTATACTGTATCAAGTCAGTTGTGTTTTACGTCGGTCGGCAGTCTAATTAAATAAGCTTTTTGTCTTACTTTAAAATACTCGTTCTTATTTCGCGCACCCCCTTTACTCACACTTCTTCAGGTTACAGGCCCCAGACTCGCATCACCGCGCGTGATCTTTTATTTATTTTTTTTGTGTGGGTGAGTGTGACAAAAGGGAGGATGGCGGAAAGGGCTGAGACAGCAAAGGATGGACAAGAGAGTCCGATCGAGAAAGCGGCCAAGAGCGTGACCCCTGGTGACCAGGCCGAGTCCGTTGTCGACCAGGCTTTGTCGACGCCGGTCGAGAATAGGGGAGCAACTCTGGACGCCGGAACCGAGATCAGCGGTAGGTCAACACTTTGTTTTTTCGAGTGATGCCTAGGTTGGACGCTACGACGTCAGGTAAAAAAAGGGAATTTCTTGTGCATTTTGAGAAATGCGCGGAATTCCAAGAAACACGTGGCGTCGGTAGCGCGACACGCACATGCAAGAGCGGGGCGGATCGAGAGGGGGACAACAGATTGCGGCTGAGGAGAGAGTTCGGTCTCTCTCTCTCCCTCTCGTGATGACTCGAGGCTTTTTGACTGAAAATATTTTACGAGGCCGTTTATGTTTTGTTTTCGTGTTTTCTCGCGTCTTTTGTTCTTGTCGCTTCGACTGTTGCGTGTGCGTTACAACATAAATGTCTGAACTGGGAAAGTTTGAACGTGTGTCAGCAGAAAATTATATATGTTCTTTCCCGGTGCTTTTAATTAATTGAACTCTAGGCAATAACTATTCAAGGCGGTTTTCAGATTTAGTCAGAAAAGGCTGATATTTTAAAAGTTTACATTTTCTTTTAGACGAGCAAACTATCGATGCTCTGTCGAGAATATGTCGGGGAATTTCATCCCAAGTTAAGTCAGAGGGGCGACAACAAGCTGCTATCTTGTTGGTGGATAAAAGGGGAATAATGGCATGTGTCGGGCAAAGGGTAGACGAAATTATTTTCCGTGTGACTCGCACAGTCACGTTAGACTTGTGTTCGGTCGCGCGCGACTGTGTGAGTGCCCAGCGTGCAATCGTGCTTTGTGTTCGAGCACGAGAACACGCTTCGGGCCACGTTGACTAGATTTGGCTTGCGTTCGGTCGATTTTTGGTTGACTCCCTGAAAACAATGTCCGTCTTTTGTTTTAGATTACCTGATCGGTGACGATTACAAATACATCGTTAAATTTCTTTGTAAAAAGGGAGGAAAAGTGACGTTGCCAGAAAATCTATTCAAGGAAGACGGGGAAAGCGAGGAACCTGCTCGTGATAAACCTGGGTTATTTGAAAAGTCGGTCAATGTATTTAAAATGTCAGATGAGAAAAAGTCCGAAATGTCAGAAGTCCAAAACTTTGATGAGATAAATGTAGACAGTGAAAATCTTTGGCAGAAATTAGGCGGAAATGAGTCTGTACACGAAGCAGCCCCCTCTTCCCCGTCGCGCACACCGAAAAATACCCAACTTAAATTAAAGAAAGTGCAAACCATTGGAAACAAATATAAATGAATAAATGTCAGCAAAACGAAGTTGCATATGGCAGATAAACAGAAAAATGAAAATGTTTCAGAAAACATCATGCTGGCCACGTTCAACTCGATAATGGCCGCGATTAGTCAGATGATCGAAAGGCAGGAGAAAGCAAACGAGGAGGCAAGGAAGGCAGAGGAAGAATGGGCAAGGAAGGCAGAGGAAAAATGGACAAGGAAGGCAGAGGAAGAAAGGCAGGAGGCTGAGAGAACAAGGAAGGAGATAATTCTGGTCATGCACAATTTTGACCAGAGGTTGTCCCGGTTAGGCGAGCGGGTGAACAGGGTCGAGTCATCCGAGGACCAATCGTCAATCGGGGCACCCCTGCAGTCATCAACTCCTCGCAACGACAGAACACAGGTGAGTCTGTAAGACAAATTGAAAACGTTCTTAAATGACACAAAAAATGAAAATTTGTTTAAAGGCAGCGCGGAACTTCTCGCGACAACCATCAGTTAAATACATAAATTCGGCCGTGATACTCAACACATATACAATTATCATCTGTCTAAAGATATGAAGTTCGAAGTTTTCCTCGATAAATTTAAGTCTGAACTCTGGTCTAAAGAATTACTATATGTCATTGATTCTTCGATTAAAAATACGGAATTTATTAACAAAGACATGATCAAAGAAGACAAATTAAAAGTCAGATATATTTTATTAAGTAGAGTAACGGAAAAATATCATTTAAGAACTTTTCGTCTGCAAGATCCGGTTGTAATATTGGAAAGTCTGAAAGAATTTAAGAAGGGGGAGACGCACCTTACAACGGCTGCGATTCGTAAAAAATTGCATGAAATTAAATTTTACAAAGGGAAAGAATCGGTTGCCAAATTCATAGAAAAATTTGAGGAACTGGTCAGAAATTGTAAGACTATAAATACGTCTGATCCCTTTTATACTGCCGTAATCGGAGCGGTACCTAGCGTGCAGGTGACCGACTTCACGCTTAAAATGCAAAGCAGAGATGGAAAGGGTATGACATATGAAAACCTGATGTCGTACATGTTAAAGGTCAAGTCAGAAGGCTTAGCAGAAGCCACAGGAGGTCGCCCCACGAGGGCAGCTTTGACTGCATCTTGGCCCCAGGACCGCCTCCGCAGCTTCAACTGTGATGACTGGGACCATATGGCTGACAAGTGTCCGAAGGCAGGTACCGGACTCAGGAAGTGCTACACGTGCGGCACGTTCGTGCATGATATCCCAGCTCACAAGAGATGCAGCCCGAGATGAGGTGAGCAAAATAAGTCTGATTCATGGGATTTTAAAAGGCAGGGCCGTGAAAGTCGAGGGAATCGAGGTGGCCGTGGCGGTGGCCGTGGCAGTGGCCAAGGCTGCTCCAATTCCCGAAAATTTGGGTAGAAAAGGGACTCTAGCAACGTCAGGGACGAAAAAGATCCCAAAAGGCAGAAAGTTACTGACCAGGGCCGGGAGACTAAGGGAAAACGAGATGCTTCAGGGTCAAATAAAGATGAGTCTCTGACGTTGATCGAGCCACCCAATACTCTGTTTTCAAACTCTGTAGGTTGAGTAAATAATTCAGAATCGGATGGAGAAAATAAGATTAAATTTGTCGCTGATTCGGGAGCGACTGATCACTTTGCAAAGTCAGAAAAATTGTTTACAAATATTGACAGAAACAAAATTGGTTAAATAAAATGTGCAAACTCAGACTCATCTGCAGACTTGAAAACGGAGAAAGTGGGAAATTTGCTGCTTAGAAATTGCAATAACGACGTCGAGTTAAAAGGAGTGGTGTGTGCTCGCGACTTGATCGGGAATTTATTGTCGCTGCGGAAATTTGCTGATATGGGCTTGTCAATCTATTTACATGACAAGGAGATTAGTATTTTCGATCCTGATACTGAAAATGTATGGATATCGGGAATATATAAAAACCCCTACTGGATGGTTGAATTTGTTAGGTCAGACAACAAAAGAATAAAAGTCTTGACGGCTGAGTCAAAAGCACACACTATTCCTGAAAATTCAACTGCAGATATAAAATTAAATAATAAGTCAGAAAATTCAGAGAGCTTGGTCGGTAAGTTAAATAAGGACAGTTTTGAAGATGTATTTTTAATAAATGACAGAAAATTTCATGAAGTCGAAAAAGTCCTGACCGAAGAAATAAAAGACATTCAAAGTCCGTTTAGCGAAAATTAAAAAAAAAAATTAAAGATAACAACGGGGCCATGCTGTGGCATGTCAGACTGGGCCATGCTTCGTTGGGGTATCTAAGGGAACTGCAGAAAAACTATCCGGAAGTAAAAAGTCTGAAAAAAGCCGTATTTGATGATGTGATTAAGACTTGTAATGTGTGTTTAAGAACAAAATCCCAAAAACTGCCTTTCCCTTCGGTGCGCGAACGAGCATCCCAACCCCTGCAAATAATTCATTCAGAAACAATGGGAATCATTAGTCCGCCCTCTTACCCAAAAAGATACAGATTTATTTCGGTATTTATTGATGATTATTCCAAGTTTGCAATCGCTTACCCGATGAAGCCCGATACAGGTGAATATTTAGATGATTTTGTAAAAGGCTGTAGAAATCTTCTCGGGTTTGAAGCTAAAGTGTGTTATCTAAGGTCTGATCAGGGTACCGAGTACACGGGAGGCTCCGTGCGAAAAATATTAAATGACCTTGGAGCTGAAATCCAACTGAGTTGTCCGGATGCCCCTGAACATAATGGTACGTCAGAAAGGCTGAACAAAACAATTCAAATGAAAGTCCGAACTCTGATATGTGATTCGGGACTCCCGGAAA